TCTGTTAGCTAGTGTATGCGTGTCTGTTAGTGAATGTGTGTGTGTATTTAGAAGGCGGGGTAGGGGGGAAAGAGGGGGATGCCTGAGTTTTGTCATGCCTAGGGCAGCACAAAACCAGGATACACCACTGATTGCACGTATGATAAATCACGGCTTGAACTATCTTGCTTTGCATGTAATGTGTCTGTCTCATATATTAGTTTGCCCTTTTACGTTGCATTACTGAAATAAATGAACTTGAGCACGATATTCTAATTTTTCGAGTATCAACTGTATGTAGGCTGGTGAGATAGCTCAGTGGGCTAATGCATCATCTGTAGAATCTGTTCAACCCTTGGGTTGCAGGTTTAAATCCCAGCAGGGTTCACTCAGCCCTTCATCCTTCTGAGGTAGATAAAATGAGTACCATTAAATTGGGTAATAGTAACATCCCATGGATGTTGGGCTAAGGTAACATCCCCAGGACGTACTTGAAAACCAGAGTAATCTGAATGTGTCTTTCCTGGTTAAATACTTTTGTGTTCCATAGGGGCTGCAAACACATTATCAAACAGCCTTAATAAGGGGCACTGTACTTCAATGAGAGACAAAGTGACTGTATTTTCTTTTATGTGGTCGTAGTTTCCATCATCACTAAATTGGGAATCGTGTAACACTGGCAAAAAAAAAAAAAACAATGCAAAATTTCAATCACAAATGGAAACAATTCTCCAACTATTTGGAACTATCTTTCTAACTTTGCTAGTATGATAAAACAAAATATTTGATTCCCATGTCAATTCCCCGCAGTTCTCATGCTGTGAATAATTCCAGTGACTTGTGACAACCGATTTTTTTTCCCCCCCAGTTCTGCTGTTTTTGATTAAATCTTCCACGTTGGCTATTTATTTACGACAATGTGTTGTTTAGTACATGAACCCCCATTTAACAAGAAGGCTTGAACCAGTGACAAATATTTAAATGCTAGATTTTTAAGCATTTCACCGGCTGACACGTGAAGTCTTAACTTGCATCTTCGAGCTTCCAGGAATAATATCCATTAAGATATAAGCCAGAGACTGATACTTTTACTGTCACAAGAAACAATTTGCTTTCACTGGGAATTCTTCTTTAATTGTTCTGGTAAATTCCTGCATGGCTCCGCCTCAATGGCTGAGATCATCAATCTTGATGATCGCAGCGAATCCAATGCTTTCCCGTAGGAAAGCATTGGGAGGCTATTGTGCATGCGCGGAAAACACTGCTCTGTGCCAATCAGCATCTCCTCTTAGAGATGGATTGAATCAGTGCATCTCTATGGGGAACGTTCAGCATCTCCATGCAGAGCGTGGGGACTCTAAATGCCAATGCTGCACACTATGCAGCACTGAGACAGGAAGAACCTCTAGTGGCCGTCTGAGTGATTGAAACTAGAGGTTTTACTAGGCAGCACTATAAAGACTGCCTTTTCTCTAAAAAGGCAGTGTTTACATTGAAAAGCCTGCAGGGACTGACTATACACAGCATTACAACTACATTTATCTGTAGTGGTTCTGGTGACTATAGTGTCCCTTTAATATGGGAATTCAAGCCCTCTATACTGTGACTTTTGGCTTGAATACTAATGCATCAATGAGTTTTGTTCACTGTTTCACATTACACATCATATATTTTATATATTTTTTTTCATACCCCCCCGAATCCCTCCACCCTGTATTTGCCTACAATTATTTCAAATTTTAGCAGGTGTTTTAATTAAAACAATTTTGCTCTTGATTATAGGTTGATTAAATAGGCAATAAGGGATTAATGCATGATGGTGACCCACCCCTATTTTGATACTTTATTTGATTAATTACATACATTGCTACTTTGGGATTTTTATAGACAAGATAATGGTTCTATGTTACACTGTACATAGTATCTATTAAGGGATCTAGTTATTAAGAGGTTGGACTATTCATCTTGTTGGGAAGCCCTTGGACAATCCTGGTCTGTCAACCGGGCAAGTTGGATCCTCAGTTTCTTTTAGATCCAACAGTTTATTGCTCTATCCTGTACTAACTGGTTTATTTCTGTGTGTTGCATCAGAGCGGGTTGAGACATTCTGGCAGACTGGAAGACGGAATTAAATTAAATATAATATATCATATTAAACCATCATTCAGAATGGCACTGCATTCCCAACATTAGATTCTGAAACAATGAAGATTGAGACAATGGTTCTTTATTTTGTATATTAGCGTAAACCATGTGAATGATATGCAGATACCCTAACAATTTCAACAACATTTGTAGTGAACCCCTAAATTGGTTTAGGAGCTGCTGGTGGAACATCCAGTGCAACTACAAACGCATTTTGCAAACTTCTTTTTTTTTTTTTTAATCCACAACTGCCATGAGTCTGAATTATTGAGAAAACTACCCTTGTCATGTTTAAGATGTTTTTTTATTTTTTTATTTATATGTTGTTTTTTTTGTACGCAAAGACTTGATGACATCAGCTTACAACAGAACAAATAATGTGATGTTATCTTATTAAACCTGTTTGGTGAGTTAGACAGCTTTGACTGAAGATTGCCATATTGGGAATTTCGGGATTCACACCGCAAAGGTGAAATGTTTTTGTAGAACATTTTGCAACTCCTCTAGGCCATACGGATTTCTTCCTTATTATTGACTAATTGCAGAATTTTTCCATTGTCTATACATCCACTTATACGCCCTGTTCCAATTTATTATACAAATTATATTTTTCTCATTTACCTAAATAATTGATGTAAATAACAGTCAGCATAATTCTCATGTTATCAACTATTAAGAGCACAATTCAAATGTTATTGAACAAACCTCCTAATGATAACAGTATTTTTTTTAAACATAAAAAACTTACAATGCACTGTTCCAAATTATTACGCACAGTAAGTTTCAAAACACTTTATAGGTTGTAAAGAACTGAAAATTGTCATTTGTTGTGTTTGCAGCATATTTACTGAAATCAAAAGCTATTTCAATCAAACTTATAACAACATTTTAACTTTTTAAACATTTTAATAGGTCACGTTACATTTTAGCATAGGACCCCTTATTTGATAGCAGCTTCACAAGTCTTGCATCCATTGAACTTGTGAGTTTTTGGACAGTTTCTGCTTGAATTTGTTTGCAAGATGTCAGAATAGCCTCCCAGAGCTGCTGTTTGGATGTAAACCGCCTCCCACCCTCATAGATCTTTTGCTTGAGGATGCTCCAACATGAACAGGACTGTTTGAAAATTAGTCTTCATGTATTTTTCTACCCAATGCACAGTTTTTGCTTGGGAGCATTGGTTAGTGGTGGCCGAATAGAAGGTTTATGCACAGTTGCAAGACTCTGGAGGACTCTACACCTTGATGTCCGTGGGACTGCAGAGGCACCAGCAGCTTCAAATATCTGTTTGCTGCTATGTAATGGTATTTTAGCAGCTGCTCTCTTGACCCAATGCATGGATCTGGCAGAAATCTTCCTCAATGTGCCTTTATCTGCACGAACCCGTCTGTGCTCTGAATCAGCCACAAATCTCTTAATAGTGCGGTGATCACGCTTAAGTTTCCGTGAAATATCTAATGTTTTCATACCTCGTCCAAGGCATTGAACTATTTCACTCTATTCGGCAGCAGAGAGATCCTTTTTCTTCCCCATATTGCATGAAAATGGTGCTCTGCTTAATAATGTGAAACACCCTCCTTTAGTAGTTTTTCCTTAAATTGGGCTCACCTGGCAATCTAATTATCACAGGTGTCCAAGATTGTTTTCAGTGATCAAAAGAGCCCTGAGACACAATGCCATCCATGAGTTAAACTGAAAAACTAAATATTTAATCTTTGTGACACTTAAATAGAATTTGCATAATAATTTGGAACAGGGTGTAAATGTAGTAAACAAGAGCCACATTTTATACCTATACTGAACTAGCAAAATCACAAGCAAATGTAAAGCTTCAATGTTATAACTGGCTACAATTTGAATCGGTAATATTGCCAAGAGTAACTGCATGCAAAACATTGAGGGATTCCACCCTCAGAATTATATGAAGGGTTCCTTGTGGCTGCACCGTCTATGCCAGCAGTGGGAAACCACAACTATTGTACACATGTCACATGATATCCACTATATAAATGAATTCTAAGCTGTAAATCGGTGAACTCTTAAGGTGTATGGGCACATTCTTCAAGAGTTATTTACTAACGTGAGAATAGTGAAGAATTCAAAGTGAATTTAAAATTGAAATCCAAAAGCAGTCAAACTGGAAGTATTTACGTTAGAAATTCACTCTGAATCCCCAATAGTGCTCACTTTTAGTGAATAGAGTTTTGCATTGAATGGGGAGATTCTCAGCGTGAATGGACAGAGCATCATAGTAACAGAATGAATGGGCAGATCCACAAGGTCTCAGTGTGAATGAGAAGATTCTCACTGTCACAACTGTGACGGTTATGGCAGTTAGTGTTCTAGGTTTGGTGTTTAGAGTTTTGGGAGTTAGAATCTTGGGAGTCATGGCAAGGGTTCTGGGAGACGGGCTAATAATACGGGATTTATCGCTAGGAGTTTGGAAAACTTGATATTGTTATAAAGCTATTGTGACGAGTTCTGAAAGACGTACACAATACTATAATAGAATGTTCCACGACAGCTGCAAAGCTATAGTTTACCTACTCATGCAAGGATGGATGTATCATGATGGAAAAATAAACAAAGAGAATGGAAAATTCACACAAAGGTCAGACGAGAAATGTAAATATATTAGTCAGTGACAATCAGTCTATTTATAGATTTTGTTTGGATCCCAGTCAGTGCCGCGAGGAGGTACTCATTTGTTTGTAGCGTCGCACTGCGCTATTGAATAATTCCATTCCATACCATAATGCATTTTACCACGGTTCAGATTTGTTAATTTTCTTTGAATTTTGCTTTGGCAACTATTCTACTGAAACTCGATCAGCTATCAATTCATGCACCATGTGACACAGCAGTAAGGAAAATGAGGATGGAATTTTTATTTAACAGTTCTTTAACATTGTGCTCATATCCAGAACACTTTCAAATTTATGCAAAAATAACATTGGTAATTATACAAACAAGGGATAAATATTTAGAGACATTGAAACAATAGGAGATGAGATCCCTTCCCATGAGCTATCTGGTTTAACGTGAAATGTACCCTTAAATATAATAACATGATGCGTCTTCACATTCAATAATATTCCACCCATACATTGTGCTACACAAATTGGTAGTTTAAACCTAATTCCTACCTTTATTTTTATTTTTACCCTCTCAACCTGTACGGCACAGCAGTAAAGATAAAATATACGGCATCTAGTAATTTTTTTTAATAAAAATGTGCATCAATTTGTGTTTCTCGAATAGGCTTTATTAATGGATTCATGGTAATTATCATACCAGATCTATAGTGGGGATTCACTATAGAATGATTTAAAGGAGCTAAAGGAGCAGTCTAAGCAACATTGAGAGAGATTTATCCCAGAATTCTCGGACAATCAAAGCAGTCTAGTTTGCATACTAAATTGCAGGAAGTGCAAATATTGCATACTAAATTGCAGGAAGTGCGAATATTGCATACTAAATTGCAGGAAGTGCGAGTAGCTCCTTATAAGTGCAGTCAATATGGGGGCGGTACGTAGATGTCAGGAAGAACTTTGGTTTACATCAAACTTTCCTTCATTGGTTTGATATTAGACTGGGGACGGTATCGTAGCTATGTTGCTTTGAGAGCCCCTTTAATGTTTGGATGAGGAGTGATCAATATCCCTTTCTAATAAATCTTTCCAGGGACTCTAATTATTACACGGGCTTAGTTATGGACATCTGAAATGCAGTTTTAAAAACAAAGATGATAAACATGATACCTTCACACAATACATAGTGGAGGAATACACTGTTATTTGTGAAAAATAGAATCTGTTGGGATCATCGTCATTTTATGAAAATTGTTAGAGTAAAAAAAAAATCTCAGTGGCATCAGCTAATATATGTAAGGAAAAGTAAAGTAACTATGGATGTACTGAGGCAGGCTGGAGTCCAGAATACAAGACTAGCCTTGCTGATAATCCTTCCAACTTCATGGGGAACTTCATGGAATCCTGTCATTTATATGGTACCTTAGTGAAACTGAAATTAAACTACACTAGTCAAGTTGTGTTTTTGAATCTGGATATTTTCACGCAGTAGAACTAATGATAAAGTTGGTTCCATGTGTGCGCTGGTCATAGGTCACAGTTTTTGTTCCAGGTTCTCAAATTTTATAGACTTTGATGGACTTTGAGTGCACCTGCATTATCGTAGGACTAAGGACACCATATACAAGGGCACAAGCGTTTAGCCAATGATTTAGGCTAGTATCCTTCTTCTGAAATAGGACCAAACTGAAATCCCTGAGGTGCAGACTTTATAACCACTTCCATAAGTTAGGAAGAGCTAGAAATCTTGTCTGAAAATAATAAGATCAAGTACAAATAGTTTTGTGTAAAGTCACTTACATATTGAGGTAAACAAAGAAAAAAAAATCCTTCATATGAAAAAAAATTGTCGGTGCTCTGGATCCAGAATGCCTTAAATCCTACACGAACAGTTATCTCGTTGTCCAAAATAATGTGCAATTTTCTGAATCAACCATATACCCATATTTTTTTTAACTAAATTACACTTTTTATACCAAAAGCATTTTTACGAATTTGGGATAAGAGAGGACCAAATTTAGTGCAAACTACAGCCATCGTAAAATGAAAAGTCCATGGCCGGGCTGATTTTTATGAATCCGTGATGACGACCTTCTTGCATGTAAAAATGTATGTTGTTCAGCTATCCTGTTCCATTTTAATGGGGTGGTGGCTTCCATCTTATTAAGTAATGGGATGGTCTGGCGGACCTCTTCTTGTGCGGGCATAAAGTGCTTTCCATTGTAGAATAACCTTCATTGACTCCTGCAGAAAAAAAAACGATTAACAAAAATAGTTAGTTCCTAAGCAGAATATGAATTCTAATTCACAGAAAGTGAAGTTATAAACAAGTCAAATGAGAATTTATAGAATTAAATCATCACATTTTGGTTTGTTTTCTTGTATATTTTTACCTCTAAGTTCTATAAGGCGTCTAGAAAAAGGATATTTATATAGTAACTAGCTCTGCCCCTTTAAGTACCATCTGTATGCTCCGGGTGGCTCAGGATGGTCGCTCAGATGTTGCTGAATTACAAATCCCAGGACACTCAGCCTAAATGCAGAATATATCTAAAATGTATGATCCGTATTGTAACGAAAACATTGGTGCTTACATTTAAAATTCATACAAAAAACACATTAGAATTTTATTCTCTAAACCGTGAATAGTAATTGTTTAAAATCTGTGAGTAATCACTACGTATTAGTTATTTTATTTTTTTTGTGATTTTTAGTTTAACCGAAAACGAAAGTGCACAAAGGCTAAAATCAGGGCCGGACTGGGGAAAAAATTAGGCCCGGGCATTTTTCAATCAGAGCGGCCCCCTAAGAAGAGGGCGGGGCCAGAGAGGGTGTGTTTTGTCATCACTAATGACAAGCACGCCTCCTCTCAAAGTGAGCATGTTGGTTCAATGCGCAGAGCTGCGCTTTAGAGCTCTGGCATTAGAAAATGGCCCTGTATTTGTTCTGCGCAGCGCAAGCAAATCTAATAACATGCTTGCGCTGTGTTTGCTTTTAAATTGTCTCTGGTGTCTCAACAAGTGGGATACCAGAGGACAAAAGGGCCAGGAAAGTGTATGGTGCATGTGTTTGGAGCCTGCTTGTGGAATTGCGTGTGTGTAGAGTGTGGTGTGGTATTGTGTAAATAGGTCAATTTCATATGTGTTTGTGGTGTAATATGTGTGGCTAGGGGCTGTAGAGAGTGTGTGTATAGGTGGCATAGTGTTATAGGGGATGTAGCGAGTGTGTGCATATGGGCTGTAGTGTGTGTGTATAGGTGACTTAGTGTGTGTAGGGGTTGTAGAGAGGGTGTGTTTAGAGAATGTTGTATGTGTTTGCTGACAAGGAATGTAGTGTGTGTGTAGGTGGTGCAGTGTGTGTGTAGGAGATCTAGTGTGTAAAGGACCCAGAGTGTGTATAGGAGATTGTGTGTGTGTGTGTGTATAGAGGATTAAGAGTGCATATAAGGTAAGGGATCTAGCGTGTATCTGGAGCGTAATGTATGTAGTGCTGTAGTGTGTGTGTGTGTGTGTATATATATATATACATACATATATATATTTGGACGTATTGTATGTGTGAGGGGCGCAGTGTGTGTGTATGTAAGAGGGGTGCTGTGTGTGAGGGTGTTTTTATCTGCCGTCACATTCTAATTTTCTTTGTCTGTTAACTCACTGAGAGTTATTTTATATATATATATATATATATATATGTGTGTGTGTGTGTGTGTGAGCGAGGGTGCTGTGTGCCTGAGTGCGCTGTGTGTGTCTGGGGGTGCTGTGTGTGTCTGGGTACTGTGTGTGTCTGGGTGTTGTGTGTCTGGGGGTGATGTGTGTGTCTGGGTACTGTGTGTGTCTGGGTGTTGTGTGTCTGGGGGGTGTGTGTCTGGGGGTGCTGTGTGTGTGTCTGGGTGCTGTGTGTGTGTCTGGGTGCTGTGTGTGTGTCTGGGTGTTGTGTGTCTGGGGGTGCTGTGTGTGTCTGGGTACTGTGTGTGTCTGGGTGTTGTGTGTCTGGGGGTGCTGTGTGTGTGTCTGGGTGCTGTGTGTGTGTCTGGGGGTGATGTGTGTGAGTGTGATTTTTTTTAAAATTAATAATAATAATTTTAAAAAAAAGTTATATCCCCCCCCTCCCTTCTTACCTTTAGCCTGGGAGGGGGGGGCCGTTCTGCCATGGGAGAGCCATGCTGCCTAATCCCTGGTGGTCCTAGTGGTGAGCGTGAACTCTAGCCTGTAGGCTAGAGTTCACTCTCGCGAGATCTGAGCGTTGCCGCGGTAACCGCGGCAACGCTCAGAATCCCGCGAGAGGACCCGGCGGAGCTGCTGGATAGAGCTCCGCCGGTCCTCTCCTCCCTCCCTCACACCCCAGCAAGCGGCCGCCTGGAAGTGTCTCTGGGCCGGTAAAGGGAGATCTTTGATCTCCCCACCGGCCCATGGAGGCACACAGCGGGGCCGGCGCTCGGGTAGCGCTGGCCCTGCAGGAGCCGGCCGGGGAGATCCTGTGATCTCCCCTGCCGGCCTCGGCCCCACGGCCATCGCGGCCCACCGGGCATTTGCCCGGTATGCCCGATGGCCAGTCCGGGCCTGGCTAAAATAGTCGATCTGTGCCCATAGCGGAGTTAGATAATGGTTTTCTACTGAAATATATTTCCCTCCATTTTGAATTGAGTTTTTCAGTTCAATAGAACTCAATGTTTAGTGAATAATTTCAATTTTTTGCATCTGTACCAGCATTGTTTGTCTGGATGCACATAAAAAAATCATTAAAAATATTGACATACTTGTTAAAGCTAACCACATAATTTTCTCTCAAAGGAACTATTGACAAAAATAGATATAAAGCCTATTTATTTTCCAACACACCCTTTTGTGGTTGAGTGTAGTATTCTTTTTGGGTTAAGTGTCACTTTGCATAGAAGTTTATGACGGCAGAAAGATATGTAGTTCTCTGCGTGTGAAATTACAAGTCTAATCTATCGATTCTTCAAAATACTGTGATCTACTGTGTTGATAACTGAAGGAATCACGTGGGAGTGCTATAAGCCACCACAACCACTACAACCCATGGTGATTTTTATCTTGGCTGCTGTTTTGGTTTTGTGACACACAATTTCTGGGCAGTTTGACGCAAAATGAGGTTCCCAAGCCCCAGGGGTCAACAGACCAGCTCCTTGCTCATATACGGCTGATGCAGACATGACCTTTTATATTCGGACAGAATTCATTGTGCCAGTCAACGAGCTCAACCAATAAATGCTTTTCAAAACTGGACAAAATTGATATTAATAATCTGTGAGTGTAAAGTAGGCATGATTGAAAAAATAAAAAGTTTTTTGGGGATTCTTGTAATGCTACAGAATACATTTGAAGCCAGTCAAATGCTTCCCTGATGCTATTGCGTAAAGAATAATTATTTGCCTGTGCTTCTCAGTATTGAAGAGACCATTCATTCTGAACAAATTCACAACCCCACAAGTAGAAATGCAGTCCCAAACATGCCAGGAACCTCCACCATGGTTCAATGTGGCCTGCAGATATTTGTTGTTGTTGTCCTCCAGCCCTTTGGTGAATAACTTCCTTTCGCTACAGCCGAATAGTTTACATTGGACTCATCAGTCCAGAGCACCTGTTGCCATTTATCTGCACCCTAGTTCCTATGTTTAAGTGCATAGTTGAGCAATGGCAGAACTAATGTACAGAGGGGCCCTAGAACAATAGATTTTTTTGGGGGCCCCCGCTCTAGTGCCATAGTGGCCAAAAGGTAGATCCTCATCTGTCGTACAACCCCCTCAATGCTATACCAGCTGGGGATCTACCATTTGCGCATCCTTGCAGGGTTGCATTTGTGAGCAGTGTTTGTACATGTGAACGAAGGCATGTTTTTGTATAGAATGTATGTGTGTGCAGGTAGGGTGTATTTGTGTGTACTGTTTGCATTTGAATGCAGGGGTGTGTTTGTTTGTAATGTTGGCTTTTAAAGTTCAGGTATGTCTGTGTGTAGTGTTGGTGTTTGAATGAAGGGGTGTTTGTATATAAATTTACCGTTTTAATACAGGAGAGTGTCTGTATATCATTTTAGCATTTTGATACAGGGAAGTTTTTGTATATAATTTTAGCATTTTAATACGTTTGTATTTGTATATCATTTTACTGTTTTAATACAGGGGTGTGTTTGTATGTAATGTTTCTGTTGATTGCAACGGTGTGTTTGTATGTAGTGTTGTCTTTGAAATGTGGGTGTACATGTTGTGTAGTTTTTTCCAATTCTAAGATGGTGGCCCTGCGGGACATATTCCTATTGTGAAGGGTAATTAGCGTTTGTTATCTTCTGCACGAAGTTCCCTTGGCCGACCACTTTGTCTACACTCAACGTTGTACGTTTCTTCAGAAGAGCTTGGACAGGACATCCGGTATCCCTGTCTGCCTAAAAACGTCTGCCTGGGAGAGACCTTGTGGATGTGCTCAGTCTTCCCATGGTGTATGAGCCAGTTTTCACTTAGTAATTGTGTTTAACCCCTTAAGGATGGTGGGCCTGCTATGCCGTCCTTAGGGACCTGGCTCTAAACGCCGGGGGGGTGGCATAGCACGTCCCCGCCATCCTTTGTACTTACCCGGTCACCGGCGATCCCACGCCGGCGATCGCGGTATGGGGACTCACCTGGGAGCCCAGGGAGTCCCCCTCCTTCCTCTCCGGTCCTCGTCGGCCACGTGATCGCAAGATCCTTGCGAGGACCTCACAATCACATGGACGGCATAGCTGTCCAAGGCAGTGCCAGCAGGGGGAGTGCCTGTAATGACAGGTACTTCCCCATCTGCCTGAAGAAAAAAAAATAAAAGTTTAATACAGTTTAAAATTACATTATATATACTTAGATCATATATATATGTATGTATGCATACATACATACACATAAATACACATACACAGTCTAAGTGTATTTTAATATTTATATATATATATATATATATTAATATCAAAGTACATGTACAATGATATTGATTAAATATGTATGAGTAATTTAGTTCTAATTGTATTTTAAAATTAATATATATATTGATATCAAAATACACGTAGAACAAAATAATATATATATCTATATACATAAGTATATACGTATATATCACTATATATATATATATACCTATATATAAAAAATAATATACATATATATATATATATATATATATATATACACACACACACACATATATATATAAAAATGCAATAATCCCCTGCACTCATGCTTGAAAAATGTTCCAATACTGGGCGCATCACCAGAGCTGCAATAGATAAAGAATCCAACAAGGCAGGCTGCTCTCCAGACTTTAAAACGAAAATTTATTAAGTAGTATTAAAAATAATGACCAACGTTTCGGTCCCCGCTCGGGACCTTCCTCAGGGTCAAAAAGACAACATATAACACATATACACATGTATATATATAATAATTCTATGTATATATTTATGTAATAATGTTACATAATTAGGTCATTTTATTAATTACAATTTGCGGGACCTGCCTGACAACCCAGGCCGAAAGTCCAGGGAATTTAATTTGCTAGCACTATATTTAACACTGTAACTTTCCTGGACACCATAAAACCTGTACATGGGGGGTACTTTTTTACCCGGAAGACTCAGCTGAACACAAATATTAGTGTTTCAAAACAGTAAAATGAATTAAAATGATGATATCACCAATGAAAGTTAAATTTTTTGCAATTTTCACACACAAATGGCACTTACACGGACAATATAATTGTTGTGATACGTTTTACTGTTTTGAAACACTAATATTTGTGTTCAGCGACGTCTCCTGAGTATAACAGTATCCCTCATGTACAGGTTTTATGGCGTTTTCAAAAGTTACAAAGTCAAATATAAGGCTTGCGTTTCAGTTTTTTTCAAATTGAAATTCGCCAGATTGGTTACGTTGCCTTTGACACCATATGGTAGCCCAGGAATGAAAATTACATCCATGATGGCATACCATTTTCAAAAGTAGACAACCCAAGGTATTGCAAATGGGGTATGTCAAGTCTTTTTTAGTAGCCACTTAGTCACAAACACTGGCCAAAATTGGCGTTCAAATTAGTTTTTTGCATTTTTCACACACAAACAAATATTAACACTAACTTTGGCCAGTGTTTGTGACAAGTGGCTACTAAAAAAGACTGGTCCTATCCCATTTGCAATACCTTGGGTTGTCTACTATTGCAAATGGTATGCCATTATGGGGGTAATTTTCATTCCTGGGCTACTATACGGTCTCAAAGGCAACGTAACCAATCTGACGGATTTCAATGTGAAAAAACTGAAAATGTAACATGTTATTTGACCCTGTAACTTCCCAAAACACCATAAAACCTGTACATAGGGGGTACTGTTTTACACGTGAGACATGGCTGAATACAAACATGTGGATTTTATTGCAGTAAAAGCAAACAGTATTATGACATTCACAGTTAAAATGTCACATAGAACTAACATTTTTTTTTTTTTAATTTCTATTTTCTCCCATTTTTAAAAATATTTTATTCATATTAAATTATGTTTCATACCTAAATGTTTGATGTTAAATGAAAGCACTGTTTCCCCTGAATAAAATGATATATAAATGTAGGTGCACATAATATTTAAAAATGTGAATTATGCCTGAACAGACATATAGCACAAATTCAAGTTTTTGTTTACGTTTTGTTTTGATCACAACATGTACATTTGGCTCAGTCCTTAAGGGGTTAAACCTTCACTTGATGATCATTAGCACTTAATTGTTTAGTTGTGCACTTAATTATATGTCTACAAATGATCTTTGCAAGTGTACCTAGAATAATTGATGCTGTTATAAGAGAATCAACATATTAATGTTTGGCCTTAGAATTTTAATATTTTTACTCACTTTGAGTTTAATTAATTGATACAAATTAAACTAAACAATTAACATGTTTACATTCTTAAAGCATTCTTACTTTAGAGCATGTTTTACTAGTTTATAAATTGTTTGCACATTAACGTGCGGATATTTTTAATGATTATTTTTTATTTCCTGCATTAATTCTTCCTTGCTTGGTATGCTCTGTATTAACTCAAATTATTTTGAAGCAAACCAGTACCTATGTACTTCTTGCACCATAACCACTACAAGAGGCTGTAATATCTGTGGTCATTCAAGATGGTCGTGTTTTTTTTCTGAACCCGAAGAGCAAGCTTTCAAACAGTGTTCAAAAGACACCGACTATTCTAGTTAACAAAAACTCTTTTCCAGGATGTCATGACTAAAGAAAAACACCTGAGCTATTTAAAGATTTTTCACATTGTTCAAAAGAAATCTTGTTAAACCGGGATAATGTGTTATCTTAGCCACACAAATGTCAAAGGCTGATCTTTCATGCGGGTTAACACTGTGTGTGCCAACGTGATGTGAAATGGTACAGCACACACAAACGGTTAACTTGTTGCCTTTCCATAAAATACAGATTTTTGCTCATTAAAAAAGTATTCTACAGCTGCAGAAATATTTAACGATGGCTGGGTGGCTATGAATACAGAATCCAGCAACAGAGATTATGGAAGGCAAAAATATACCCGTTTACGCCTATTTTAACAAACACAGCTTACCATATTTTTATTTTTTATATAAATACACATATAATTACACAAATTGGTTTATTCAATAACCAGCAAATTGTAGTGATTTGAAAACTGAATTAAAGCAACATTTAGGCAGCCAATAGCTGAAGTGGACACATTTTCAAACTCAGCTATAGTCAGAGCTTGTCTATTTTAGCTTAAACTTCCAAATCACTTTTCATGTCATTAGAATTCGAGGTTTAGTGAATAAACACCTTTATGTTTTTCCGACATAAATCTCTATAAATCAGAGCTTTCTTACTGGAATTATGTTTTACAGTCAGATACAGTTGGTCCCTTCAAATTGTTCTCCAGTTGCAAATGTTATGTTTTAATGCATAACTTTAAAACAATGTTCATAGCAGGTTGACATGGTTTTCACCTGAGCCCTAGTACATGTAAATTAAATCTTCTTTTGAAGTAATCAGGTTTTAAGCTGTGATGCAGCCATCGTGAAATTAATTCACAATTGTTAAAGTCATAAAGTGGTATAAATAGATATAATATAAAAGACAAACGCTAAACAAAGCATGTGATGCACAGAGCCACTCAGAACTTGAGATTCCCACAGTCAGCCTGATTATTAGTTTCCAGGTTTTACAGCGCGGTAAACTCTACTCGGTGGTATTATTGAGAAGACCAACACAAAACACTCCTTTACAATACTGTACAGGCTATTATTTGAGAGGACTACAATAAAAAACAAATAGTCTTAGTACCATAGAGTAGTGCACAAGAGGCATCGCGTAAGAACTGTCAATACTACCATAGAGTTTTGTCTGAGAGGGCTAGTATAAGAAACACAGATGATAGTACCATAATGTGTTGTCTGGGGGCACTAATAAAAGAAACACACTCTATTGTAATATAGAATATTGCCCCATAGGACAATTATATTGTACCCCAAATTGTTGTCCAAAATGATATAATAAAAAAATACAAAAACGGCAGCAATGGACACTGTACATAGCTATAGTACATCCTCCACTGCTGACAGGAAATCCCACCACTTTTCCTCTGTAGCTGTTAACAGACAGGAGAATTGTGTCCAATCAGGTAATTTTTCATCTCTATACACGTTTCCAACTATTTTAGCGCATCTTTACTATTTAGGCTTAAATAAATTCTACACAAATCCCAGTTTAAGTAAAAACAAACGAATTTGGACCTGAACGGAGTCAGTCATTAAAAAAAAAAAAAAAAATCCCCACTTCCAATGATGGGATCAGGATGTGAAAAGCCATAACGTCATATCTGAAAACTTGGAATTATAGGTTTATTTTTACCGTGAAATGTGGATGTTGAACGTAGAAGTTACACCGTCAGTCCGAACTCTTTGTAGGATACCTCCACATTGCCCGTGTACCATAGCATCCAAAGCACCAAACTTAAAGCGATAATCATGGATCCCGTTAAAAGAAAGAAATCGAAAGATTGAAGACCGGCAAATATTCCAACGAGAAGCAGGATGATTCCAACTACGTCAAATATGATTGCCGCTATGAAGCAAAAAGCACAGCGGCGAGTGACTTTCGAAATCTTTACCATGTTGACAACATTGGACCCAACAAGGATTAGCGATCACAGCTTACAATGTCTCTGGCTGTGAAATGCAGATGACTGCAAGCAAATTTGTTTAAATAAGCACACACCTTTCATTACAATAGCATTTTAAAATGGGTGGAGGTTAACTGTATGGTTACTGAAGCAACGTGTGTCTCTGGACATAGCAAGAGGCAGAGGCAGTACTGTAAAACATGACCGACTCAACTTGTTTTCACAAACAGCCTGAATTCTTTAAATGCCTAGCGTTGCTCTAAGTCATAGATTGTCAGTGATCAATATTTTAGGCATGTGTAAATGCAGAATCATTGTCGTGTCTAAAAAAAGAACATGCATGCTAAATCTGCTTTTAGAAAGACATTTAAATATGGGTGAAATATTAGGAATAATATATTAAATCTAATATATTACAGAAATTTCCCTACTTTCTCTGCGTTAATAGTTTATGCTACCTCGATACAAAAAGAAAGCGTCCCCGATTCTCCTTTTCCTACAGAGCGCCGCAAATATGGAACGACCTCCCGAACACTTTAAAATATTCCCTAAGCCTAAAGTCCTTTAAAACTTACATACCTCAAAACAGAATGCACCTGTTATGGTTTATTATATATTTCCTACCTGTTCTATGGTAAATTTGGTATATATTGTGTATTAATATTGGTTTTGTATTTTATTGTACCCTATTGTATCAATGCAATGTTTTGTGTAACCAGGACATGGTTGAAAACGAGAGAAATCTCAATGTATCTTTCCTGGTAAAATATTTTATAAAAAATAAAATATGCAGCTGCAGAATCTATGGTAAAAAAAGTTCTGTTAAAACTCTTGTAGCAAGAATATTGTTACTCTTCCTACTGATATTCCTGAGTAAATTAAATATTAATTTCTGACACTAGAATGTGAGTCTACACATTAACTGTGAGGATGACTAGCAGAAGAAGATTTCCTGCGGTTACTGGAGTGCTATTCTAGTAATGATCTCAAAAGGTGTACTACAAGCACTTCAGGGATTTATCATAATGCTTGAAGAGTCTGTATAGTACAGCATTTCAGTTTAAAAAATGCCCTGTGTTGATAGAGGTAGGATCATTAAAGTAACACGAGTTCTAGACTGACTAATATTAATTCTGTGCATAGTTTGTTGGTCGACAGTGTGCTGGCTACAGCCATAAAATGGCGGCTGCATTTCTCCATCCCCCCCCCCCCCGCCTCACTTACACAATGGCTATTATTACAATAATAATACAATTTTCTAGGAAAGTCTGGTCCAATCACCTTTAACTATCATTCTTCCTAATACAGGTAAACACACCCCTTTCTTTATTTAAAAGGTTGGAAGGAAAGTTAGTGTGAACACTTACATTACTGCTTTGAAGGTTGGCACGGTTTTACCCCAGGGTCCAGTGTTTAACACACCAGGGGCAAACTAGCAAAACCATGACCAGAACGCACCCATTAACGGCACAATTCCAAATGTCCTGACAGGGTGTGTTTTCGGTAACTTAAACAGTTTTAGAGTGTTGTTATACATGAGATTTCAGCAGCCCCCAGTACCTTTTTCAAGTAAAAGACATTGTATCACGTCCAAGGTTCTTGTGCAAGATTAGCAAACATTATTCATGTTAGCGTAGAGGCAGGTTTGACAGGAGGCACAGAACTTAACAACCCAACTTTATAGGCCTGTTTCTTACACCAGCTGGACGGTTTGACATGTTAAAGATTTCTCGGTGAAAGGATCATTAGTAAAACATATACTGGGTTTGGTGTTTCCAACAACCGGATTGTGCTGTTGAAGAAAAAATATATATAAAAAAAAACATTCAGCAGCTGTGGAACCTAGCTATAAGTTTAGCACTCCAGTAAAGATGGAGTTTATAAAAGACATAGGGGCAGCCTTAACCCACCCCTACAGTCCTCTCATATGGTCATCGATGACCAGGTTGAAAAAAATCTTACTAGGGTGCGGGGCCTGTCTCGCATGGAGGACAGACGTGCCTGAGCAGAGCTCCTACACAAACCGAGCGATTAATGGCACTACCAAGCCAAACAAACCTAAACAAAGCAACAGCACTCGACTTATCTGACCCACGAAGGGGCTGAGAAGCAACACGCCGGCATATACGGCACCCGATGCCCACAGGCCACGAGCACCGAGGCCTAGAAAGTGTCGGGCGGGAGAGGCGGCCGATCTCTGGACCCGGGACTGAGGGGAACGCAGGGTGCATCACTACAATGCCCACGACCCGGCGCATCAGCCGTCATGGCGGACGCCACGTGTCCCCCCGACAGCACTGACCCTGAGCCCGACATCATACAGAAACTAGATGCACGGTCTTAAACAAAAAAACAAAAAAAAAGTGCACTGTTTAACCATGCCAAACAACTGTCTTTATATGAACGTGTAAACTCTGGCAGAAAGCTGTTGTGACATTTGCTGCCGTAAACGTAATATATGTTTTAGCTATGCACAACAAAATAAAGAATAAAAAAAAAAACAAAAAAAAAAACTGGATAACCTGCAGGATTAGTTTCCGACTTTTTAGCACCGCTAATATCAAATGTGTGTTCTATAGCTGGTGGGGAGAACAGAGATTTTTGTCAAACCAATTAAAAATGTTTTAACAACAAAAATTGAAATTAAATATAAGTTTTTTTTATATATATATACACACACACACACACACCAGACAACTGAGCTTATAAACGACCACATCACAGTTACTACAATGAGCTATAGTGGCTAATAATGTCACTTTAAATAAATCTAATTAACACCATTAGCTGTGATATTCGCAAGCAATGGATCCAGATTGAGAAAGACATGGTCAGTGCCCAAACATTGCCACCTGCTGTTTGAGGAGTCAAAAAAAAACAAAAAAAAAACACCACCTCTACTTTCATCTCTGTTAGTGAAGAAGAACAAGGAGCTCATCTTGTCTATCATCAAGTCTTGAGTAAGTGCCTGCCACAATACCCTCTTACCATGGATAGCGAGGCATTGAATATCCTAACATGTTGAGGAACATTCTGATTAGTTGTAATAAAGATTGTAACGAAAGGTCTAATAGGAGGGAGGAGCGCTGTCTGGTTTTATAGCGTTTCTCAAAGAGAATCAAACGAGCCCCTTGAACCAGTCTACGTGTACTGTTAGGGAAGTATAGATTAATTCACTGCGATAAATTGAGCATGGAAGTGAGACAGAAGCTTAAATAGACGGTCATCAAATGTTTAATCCCCCCACCCCCCTTTAAAATTATTACATTTAATGCCACTTAATGATATATTTTAAGATTGAATTTTTATTTTTATTTTTTTTAATTGTAAAACATGGTCTGTACAGCAATAGGGCCACTTGAGCTGGTTGACCACCTTCTCGGCGTCTAAAGAGAGAAACAGAAAACGTTTTAACGCATCTAGTGTATGAAATTAAAATCAGATTGGTGCATTTACTTAATTCATCCCATTCTTTTAAAAGCAACTCCTTAACCAGTCTCAAAATTTCTCTCTCCCCCCTCAGACTCTACCCCAACTATCATTATCTACTTCCCTAATCTTGCCCTAGAGTCACGTTCTCCCTGATCTTTGTCATCATGTATCATTAATCCTACCTTCACTAGATGAAGTTTGTGGACTGCTGAGCTTGGTTACCAGTAGGCAGAGGCTGTTCTGTCTGTACGGGTCCCCGGTATAATGGTTCTGCCATGTGATCTTTAGAGTGTTCTTACACTAGCACAGGAGGTCCCCATTTTTCATGATATCTTAGGTCCTCACAGGATCACTGCCAGGCTTCTCTCTCATTAAACTTGGTTGGGAACATGCAACAGCAATGTAGGGGAGGGATATTTAACATAGGAACAGTTAAGTTTTTGTTGTTGTGAGCTTTTCATGGTTTTGTGAATAAAACTTGTGTGTGATTTTGCACAAAGCAATGCTACAGGCTCCTGGCCTGTAATCTGGATAAACAAGTAACTGTTGCCATTGTTGCTTGTTAGGAATTAAATCTGGTTGTGTGACTTCAGGACATATCAAATATCTTTTAAAGGCCAGATTACTTATCTGTTTCTTTCCCTATGTGCAGCAGCCATTGTCTTGTTATAACTTTGTGACATGGGCAGATCGTGTGAAGTTACTTAGGATTAAAAGTGTTTGAACAGCTCTACAATCCCACCTGCTGGGCGATATTAACACCTTACACACCAGAGAGCAAAGTAACAGCTTAAATAATGTAGGTATTAATTTGCATTCACCTAGCGGGGAAACAAACAAAAACAAAAAATATATTAAAAAAAATAAAATACAAAAGCTTGCTCTCTGAGTTAAAGAAATCTGTTCACCTTTATTGATTCAAGGTCCATGATCTGGTACGAATACGGTCACAGATTACAAATACAGACATTGTACTTTCAACATAAATAGGTTAAAGAAAATAAATGTGGCGGTAAATGCACCGTGTAAAAAGACTATTATTTAAGCCAGAGAAGCGGAGATGAAATACAATTTTATTATCTTTAATCCTTATTTTATGGGAGCATATAAAAGGACAGATCTTAGCCAAGATGGAAAAATGAGCCAAGAGACTGGGGGTGGGATGACCACAAAAGCAGGCATTCTACATTTAGAGTGGAAAGGGTGAAGGCATGATCCGAGCTACCGACCATTTCCCCATTAAGAAAAAGAAGAGTTTCACCTGTCTTCACGCCTAGCGATCTCCTGCCATACTGCGTATTTACAAAGTTTGAGTTTGGCTGGAGATGTCTCTTGTTTCCGATCACATGGATATGGACGGCTCTCGTAAATGTGTGAGGAGTCTCCTGCAATAGTCATGTTAAAAGTTTGGGGTTTTAACTTTACTAAAACAATGAGTGGACACCCAGAGTTTGAGATGTTTGTATCGAGAACAATGTTGTACTTGATACATGCCTAGGTTTTAGAAAATATTCTGAACATTTAGTTGGTGCTGGCCTTAAATTATCTAAATCTTTTCTGAGCACTCACAGCTTGCCAGATAACCCTGAAAGACTCTTGTGGTTAGTTGCTATAGGGAAATGGGGGAGAACAAATGAACGAACGAACACACACACACACTTTACGTGCACTCTGTGTAAACCCACTTTATAACCAAAAAGAAAACAGGCATTTAAACAAGTTTGAAAAACAAACACAAATTTTTATTGTGTCTCCAAAATGACATTTATAACAGTGTATAAAAATATAAGCATCTAAAATGTATTTTTATAAACATTAAAAAAAATTTAAAAAAATGCTGAATCGTGATTGTAAGGACAGATTTTTAAAACAGACTCCCTGCCCCCCCCAAACAAAACATGAAGTTACAAAAGAATGAGTCACGACAGTATAATCAGCAGCATTTACATTTTCACATCACATCAGTTGTCACATATAGAAACACATTACATATGTATACGTTATTGTTACATTGTAGTGTATGAAAGTCAGATTTATAGGCATTATGAGATACAGCTTAATATTTACACATTTAGCTAAAACACGAGGTAATTCTAATATTTTAGAGAAACCTAACACACAAAACAGCATAATCATTACTAGATTTTTCTAAAGCACAGAGCTGTAAGTTCGTGACACACTGGTAAAGTTATTTAAGTAAAATGTAAACAGACCTTCAATGAGCCACGATGGCAAGGAATGGGCCCATTGTACAGTACTACGGAATCTGATGGTGCTATATAAATAATAAACGCTAGCTGTCACGGCTTGCGGAGGCTGAACTTACTACAATTAAACCAACTGCATGCTGGGAGAACCAGCAGGTATCACTATGTACCCAGAAAAAGTTGAGGGGAAACAGAGGTATTCACTAAAAGGCTCTATTTATCTTTGCAGAGAGAGTCTTGGGCCTAGGGGATATTCCCTGTAGATATGAAAGGACTGATATGTTGCATTGAATGTGATCACATTGCAGATATTAGAATTCATTCTTACACCTTATATATTTAAATTGGCCACCAGTTTGCCAGGTAGAAATGGTCCCTGTTCGGTACATAGCGGAAAAGTCTAGGCAATATAACAGCACCCCATTTGCTGGTATTGTAGTGGAATAATATTAGGTATGATATTGGTGGTAACGGAAGTCTAGTTGCAAAAATGAGATACATCACGCTAACTTATCACATTGTATACAGTAGAGAATTAACATAAGACCACATGATGCTAGTTTTGCAGTTAAAGCGGCACGGTCTCCCCCCTCCCCCCTGAAAGAGCAGTATTTTTTTTTTTTTTTTTTTTTAAAGATTGACTCTTTATGAAATACTCTGTATTACCGTGTTAAAATTTCACTGAAATTCCAACCCAGTTAAGAGATATACAGAGACGAAAGTTGGGACTACTTTATCCCCGTATTTCTCCTCGGCCTGACTTTCATAGACTCAGGGCGGAGTCCAAGAGCCAATCTCGATAGTCGTCACCAGTGGTGGCTGCGTCTGTTGAGTATACCACAGGATGTTCCATAAACCTTAATGCTGTACTTTGGCGCATGCGCAAGAGTACAGCATTGATGTTATCTTCTAATCGAAAAGGAGCGAATTAAAAATAAAAAATAAAAAACAAAAAAAATAAAATAAAAAAACACAACCAGTGAGGGACAGAATAACCTTACCTGCACCCCCTGCCCCCAAAAGGGTGACAACGTACATTAAAGGAAAGGTTATTAAAAGGAATGAATGTATAAAAAAAAAAAAAACAAACAAAAAAAATAGGTACCCATGTTTCTTTCCCTGTCTGAGTTGACAAAGGCTCTCTAAATACTAGAACAGGGGTCCTCAAACTGTGGCCCTCCAGATGTTGCTGAACTACAACTCCCATGATTCTTTGAAATACATAGATAGCCAGAGAATCATGGGAGTTGTAGTTCAGCAACATCTGGGGAGGGTGGGGGCAGGAGTTTGAGGACCCCTGTACTAGAAGATGCAGATTTTAACAAGGTTATTCACTCAATTTAAATTTTAAAGTAAATTTAAAATACAAGGCCAGAGTAGTCAAATGGAAAGCATTGCTGACTTTTTTCCGGTTCGGCTATTTGACCTTAAATTTGTAATTCATTTTGAATTATCCATTTAGCAAATAACCCTAAAAGAGAGTTTGTACTAGAGTGTTCCCCCCTTGCTATTAAATACCCTCTCCCATTTCTATCCTTGGAGACCATACAACCACCACAGTTAACTCCAGGTCTCAAGAGTCCCTTTAACTAATATTAGCTGCATCCAAATCAAAATCATGCAGTCGAAAGGAATTCTGAAGGTCATAGACTGGCCTTTGAGAAATGCATTTAAAAAACGTCAGAATCCATTTTTTTAGGCATCACTGATGTTCCTTGGGTGGACATACACACATTCTGGGTTATTCAATAAAACTAAGATTATCAGGAACTCAAAGTGGATTTCAAATCGGAGGCCAAAATAGCCAAAACTGAATAGGACTTCATTCTTTCAGCTCGGCTATTTTAGTCAAAAAAATAAAAATAAATAAAATGGGCCTTTACTCTCTGCGTTGTGTTTTACGTATAGATTATTGGGCTACTACACCATTTTGAACAAGGGAAAAAAATAATAAAATAAAATTGGGGAAGGGGAAATCAACAATTCGTAACAATCATACATTCTGGTGCCAAATGGAAGATTGTATATGTCCTCAATCTTTAGATGAATTTGATTTAAAGAGACACTATAGTCACCAAAACTTTAGCTTAATGAAGCAGTTTTGTGTACAGATCATGCCCCTGCAGTCTCTCTGCTAAAAAGTATCTGTCATTTAGTAGTTAAATCACTTTGTTTAAACCCTTAAGGACCAAACTTCTGGAATAAAAGGGAATCATGACAGGTCACGTGACCTTAAGGGGTTAAACCCTAGTCACACCGCCCTGCATGTGACTTGCAGAGCTTTCCAAAACACTTCCTGTAAAAAGTAATCTAATGTTTACACTTTATTGCAAATTCTGTTTAATTTAGAATTTCCCATCTCCTCTGTTAATAGCTTGCTAGACCCGACAGGAGACTCCTGTATGTGATTAAAGCTCAATTTACAGAGCAGGAGATAAAAACTTCTAGAGTTAGTTACATCTGATTGAAAGTGAAACCATTTTGGTTTTTTTCCCATGCAGGCTGTGTGAGTCTCACACAGGGGAGGTGTGGCCGGGGCTGCATAAACAGAAATAAAAAGTGATCTAACTCCTAAATGGCAGAGAATTGAGCAGTGAGACTTCAGGTGCATGATCTATACACCAAAACTGCTTCATTAAGCCAATGTGTTTTGGTGACTATAGTGTCCCTTTAATGTCAGTCTGAATTTGAAGTAAAGCAGCCCAGGTACAAACACAGAGGCAATAACAAACAATCTACCTCCTTAGGTGAACAGACCAGCAGTGAAATAAGGAAGGACTTGGGTTTAAAATACACACAGGAATAATAGTTGGATGTATCGTCCTCTACAGCGAGTTCAAGGTTTCCCCCATAATGCACTGTTCATCTTAAAGTCAACACCACAATCATTCACATAATGAATTGACCAACATGGCTAATCAACATTTCCCCTCAATAGTTATAGCAGTGGAACATCAAGAGAACCAGCATTTAAAGATTATTTAACATGAAGTGGAAATCCTGGTTAACGTGATTCTGTACAATTGAATTAAAATTGCAAGTGTGCGATTGTTTATTATATTCCTAAAAATAAGGAGAGGAAATTATAGAAAAACATTGTTATAATTAAAATTTAACCCTCCCCCCTTTTTTTTTTTTTAACCAAACACTAGCAACAAGTACTAACAAAGTAAGAGGCAAATAACTTCCCTGAGATGGCAGGTGGTGGTTTACGAAACAATTGGTTGTCCTCCTCAGGTCGGTTTCTACCAGTTAGTGCCCGAAGAGCTTAAATAAGTTACGTTTCACGGTGTATTCTCACTGCTCAAGGATCCCATACATTTTTTGGAGTGCCATAGGTGTGTGTAAAACAAGGCATTGGCCAAACATTTAGCATAGAAAGAGGAAAACAGAAATTTTCCTGCAGCAGTTCAGAAAAGGCCAACACACATGTTCTTAGGATGCAAACATTAAGGAAGAGGTGGGTATCAACAGCAAGTCATGAAAAGAAAAAAAAATACATAATTGGTTCATCAAAAACAAACAAAAATAAATAAATAATAAACTCGGTAATGAGAATAAAAACTACAAATAAACAGTGCAGGGAAATGTGTAAATAGTGTCTGTCAAGACATATTTGACCATCATCCGATGGGGACATGAACCAAAGTCAGTAGCTTCCAGCGATCAGCATCCAAAGCGTCTTTTTGTCCGAGGATTTAATCCATGTAAACGTTAAAGTGTCAGACGACCTAAATAAACCCAGGACATGGAAAAGTTAATGCAGGCAGGGGTTTAATCAGGCAAACAAGTCAGAATACCGAACGAGTGGCTTGATCTCACCTGGCATTTCTCTACCTCTTCCCCAACATTGCACGAAATTAAACAAACTGGGAATAAAAAGCTATACATACCAATACAGAGGAATGAATACTCTACATACACATTGAATACTGCTAGCAATATGGAAATGGCTGCAATAATAACTCATGTCCAGAAGGTGGCATTGCAAAGTGCCATCTCCATTATGCACGTTTTTCCATCACATTGGATTGTAGGTTCTGTTATATAAATATGGTTAATGTACAGACAAGATTGTCCACACAGCAGGATATAGATTGGAATAGAACTTTCCTCTCAACATTTTAACCCAGTTAGGACAGAGGAAATTGTTTTGAAAAGTTCTGAACCAAAACCTAGAATTTGAGCCGTGTGTCTGTTCAACCATAATTTACCTCTTTAATAAGTGCACCTACGCTTCTATATTTATCCATCTATCATTTTGTTCATTAGAAATGGGGCCTTCATCGGAAATAATTTATATTTGAAACAAATTTAATATGAGGAAAAAAAAAAAACCCCCAAAAACCACCAACCCAACAATTTATAAGGAAAGCAAAAATAAAAAAATAAATAAAAATAAAATTAAAGTTAAACCACAGCCAACACATTCTCCAGGGCAGTGCAATGGGTGGGCTAACAGACAAGATTAGTTGGATACACAGGAACAGAGGGTGTGGAGGGCCCTGTTCAAACAAGCTTACATTCTAGAGGGAGTGGGTTAAGTGACAAAAGAGGTAAGGGTAGTAGGTATAGGAAAAAGTAAGTCACTAGAATAGTTACCAAGATGTGGGGAGGGAAAGCCATTAATAGTTAAATGGATATGCTTTCCTAAAGAACTAAGGTTTTTAATGATCTTCTGAAGAAACGGAGACCGGGTGAGAGTTTAACAGAGCAAGGAATATAGTTCCAAAGGAGCGAAGCAGCCCTAGAGAAGTCTTGAAGGTGTGCATTTGAGGTGGGAGTACGAACAGAGGATAGACTCAGATCTTCAGCAGAGTGTAGGGGTCTGGACAGGACATACTTGTGTATTAGTAAAGATTGGTAGTTAGGAGCAGCATTATGTAGGAGTTTTGTAAGCAAGCGCCATCATTTTAAATTGAGCCCTATATCTTAAAGGAAGCCAATGTAAGGACTGACAGAGGGAAAGCATGGGGGTGCGGGAGGACCAGAAGATGAGCCTTGCCGCCACATTCATTAGAAACTAATGGGGCAAGCTGGGAACATGCAAGACTACTGGGAAGCGGAATGCAGTAGTCAATGTGAGAGGATAGTGAAAGCACCTTAGCCGCAGCTGGCATTAGAGGCGGATGCAAGTAGCAGAGTTTGGCGAATGACTGGACATAAGGGGTGAAGGAGAGGTTGAAGTCAGAGACCACCTAGGCAGCGAGCTTGCGAGGTAGAGCTTATGGTAGTGCCATTGATTTAGGAGGGGTACTCCAGTGTCTGCCTTCCTCTAAGGGAGGAAAGACGAGAAGCTGTGTTTTGGACAGGTTAAGTTTAAGAAAATGAGCAGCCAGCCATGCAGTTAAAAATAGCAAAGAGGCGGTCAGAGACACGAGTCAAGTGAAATGGGAAGAAAAATCAGGAGAAGACAGATTTGCGTGTCATCCGCGCAAAGAATAATAGAAGTTAAGAGCACTAGGAGTAAGGAAAGTAAATCGGGGAACACCAGAGAGGTTTTGTCCTAAGAGAGCCAGAAAAGAAAACACTGAAAGGGCATTGGGAGAGGTAGGAAGAGAACCAGGAGAGAGCAGGGTTTCATAGATAGAGAGTACAGAGGATGAGAAGAAGTTGTTTATGATTAACCATAAGTGAAAGCAGCAGAAAGGTCTGGAAGATAAAGGTGAGAGGGATAGCAACCAGTGTATTTAGCAGCAATAACTTCACTGGATACTTTGGCCAGGCCCCTTTAAATAAATAAATAAATAGAGTGAAGAGCGCAGAATCCAGACTGAAGTTGGATTCAAGCAAGACTGTCAAACTAGTGTACACAACTCTCTCAGGGATCCTGGAGGCAAAATGATTCCAAGATAGGGCAGTAGTTGGATGGGGATTTAGAGTCACTGTGGTTTTCTTTTTTTCGTTTTTCTTTTTTTTATTTATTATTTCCTTTTTAAATAATTGGGGTGATTGTTGCATGCTTGAAGGGCAGAGCAAGAGGAGAAAGAACGCCAGTGAGATGTGCTGGAGGACATCTCAGTGAAAAAAGTTGTAGCGTTCGAGTTATGAGGAGGAGCAACGACAGGGCAAAAGTAGAGAGTTAAGTAAGAATGTGGGTTCTCAGGGGAGCGTGGTTATGATGGTATGGAAGTAGATTTTAAATTTTATTTTTTTAAATGGAGGAAAGAGTCAAACTGTACGAGTATCATAATTACAGTGGAGGAAGTCAGATTCAGAATGATAGACCTTCTCCAGCAGCGTTCTGCAGTTTTGAAGGCAATGGGCCAGGGTTGTAACTGGGGTCACTTACAAAGTTTAAATATAGGAGGTGCAAGAAGTTCAGATGAGAGGGTGCAGTTGCAGAGGGAGATTGCAGAGTTAGGGCAGGTGAGGTTTGAGATGGGTAAAACTAGAGAGTTTGGTGGAGAATTGCTGTAGGTCAAGACAGAGGTTTCTATGAGATTGATGTACCGAGGGTGTTATGCCGTTTTTAAGGGTCAGCAGATAGTGGTCAAAGGAAATGGAACACTGGAAAGATTAGAAAAGATACAGAGATTGTGCAGAATACCTACACAGGGAACACCCTTGATCTCATTTTTAAGAAATCTCCGTACAACCTCTAATCTCTCCAATGTTCCGTTTACTCTGACCACCCTCTGGATATTCTTTGCCATCTCTCAGATTCATGGGCATTGACCGTGTCCCGGAGCTACCACGTGGAACTCTTCTCAGGAGAGAGGCATTTTGTAAATATACAATTGAGACCCTGCCCCCATTAGAACTCCATGAATTAAAAAAATAAATAAAATAAAATAAAAAAAATCCATTGCATTTTGCCTATTCAGTGATTTAATGCCATTTCTGTTTTGACACAAGGATTATAGCCTATAGTTTATTCCCATGCATTATTGATGTATTTTTTATGTACATATTTTCTCTTTTACTTTGCATCATCGGGTTATTCCTTAAACAGATTCTTGGTGTGGGGCCCTCTGCCCTTACACTGCTCCTTGTGCATTTAATCCTGGGCTGATTGCCTGAAACATTGTCTCACAGCTTTAACAAGTGAATACTTTGTACGTAATGTATATATTGTTTCTAGGTGTAGCTTTCGTTATCCAACAGATATTCTTTTTTCTCTTAAACATATTTTTGTTTACACCCGCTATGCTACACTACACGTGTGTGTTTAAATGCAGGGGTGTATTTGTGCGCAGTGTTGGTGTGTGTTTTAATGCCGGGGGTGTATTTGTATGCAGAGTTAGCATTAGAATGCTGGGGTGTACATATGGCCACAGATGCACAGTTACATACAGACACAGGTGTGTACACACACACAGGCTACAACAGTTTTAGCTATAGGCTTTAGCTCCCCTCCTGTGTGGGCGCGGCTCTTCGGCTCTCATTGAACTAGGAGGAATTGATTTGAATGCACTTCCTCCATACATGATACCATATTATCCCAGGTGCCTTTCTTATGGCTTATACCAAAAGCTATTGTTTTTGGCTACAGGTCTCTTGTCAATAGATGTATAAATTTTTATTTTCTTTAAAAAAAATTAAACACGTAAACTTTCCAACTTTGGAGCCTTTAAAGACTGGCAAATACTTAAGGACAAGTAAGTACTATAATCCAGACTAGTATACTAGGGAAGAGCCGGTTCGTTTTTCCTCATTACGGGACATTTTGCTTCTTCCATACCCCCTCCTAATTTTTTGTATACAATCATCACGATCTGTGCACATCGTGTCTTATTGTGATTTCCATTCAGTAATTTAGGGTTCTGGAGAGTAGAGTGACCTCTACTGGTGGACAAATGGCATTACAGAGCCTTGGTACTTTTTGGAACACCCTTACTAAATGCTAGTATTACTCAGTACTGTAGTAACAAAGATGACCCCTGGTGATTAAGATAGGAAACAAAAAAATAAATAAAAAAAATAAATAAAAAAAATTAGGAGGTGGTATGGAAGAAGCAAAATAAACATCCCGGGGTGGGGGGACAGACAGCTATTTCTGGGCCTAGTTCAGGGGCTGCTTGACAGCCCTACTGTAGTGGTTCTGGTCCCTAGAATGTCCCTTTATTAAAAAAAAAAAGTTTAAAGTGGTTCTGTTTTTTTATTTTATTTTATTTTTTTTTTTAAAACGACCAATGTATTTACGCGGGGCGGTAAAAAGAAAACCTCCAGAAAGTAAAACCCATGTACAACTGTACAGGACATTGCAAACGCGACATTATGATTGTGTGGTGTTGGTGGGTTTGAGTTTATAAGGGCCTTCAAGGGACTGTGAGGAGGGGTCTACTTGAACCTGTTGCTTGTAACCACAGCAAATTACAAATATTACACAAATCTCTACAAAGTGACCCTTTTGGTCCATAATGCAGAGGGAGACGCTGTATTTATTTTCTGACCACACAGTTTGTGCAGAGTTTGAAAGGTGCGTGGGTTCACGTTATTCAATACTCACCCCGCATGGCTCTTCTCCAGAGCAGGAGACTTGGCTACACACAGGTATGCTGGTAGTAAGAGTAAGCCCTGTGCCAGCGTTTTTCCACCATGAAGTTTTCAATAGTCTGATAACAGCAGCTGTATGATTGCCATCAGCCGATTATAAATATATAATTATAATTTTTTTGGGGTCCCGCAAGTCCTACAGAGTTTTCACAGAAAGTCTCTTTCCCGTATTCCTAGATTTACTGCATCTCCGAGTAGCCAGAAAACCTCTAACCAGCAAGCGACAAGCTACATCATGTTTTCAGAAATGGCTGCATTCCATGTATATTATTGTGGGAAAAGGCATTGTGGAATGTAAACTCTTGCCCATTGTTGATCCTTTAAGAGGGAGAAAGGAGAAAAAAACAAAACAAAAAAAAAACCCACACACATCTAAAGTTTCCTTTGTTTGCTACAAAAGTGCAGAAAGGTGGACGTAGCTAAAACCTTAGTAAACCTCGGCCCTTGTATAGTTCATAGGAATGCTATAGATTTACTTAACTGCAATAGGATGGAAAGCAGATCATGTCTGCTATTGGCTTCATGTTTTTTCATGAATGAAGGTACTAAAATGGACACTCAACAGCCAAAAATAAATATCACCATTTAGTAGATAACCCAAATAAAAAACATGCATTTAATTATGTATTTTGTCTTCCCATTCTAACCCCGCCCAGACTTTGTGACTATCCAATCACAGACTTCCTAATGCAGCGTAATGAGAAGTCTTTGCAAAGCAGATGCTCTGGGTAACTATTGCCTCTTGAGTTTAGTTCCACTGAGCTAACCAAAGCAGGAAGTAACACGACAGGTTGTCCTGAAAAAAAAAAAAAAATATATAAAATTGCACTTTTTGCTAATAGAAATATCTATTTTTTCCTCCTATTTATGCATTTTTTTTTGTTTTCCAAAAGCATAAATTACCAAGGTTCACACTTAACAGGGTATAGTGTTGACTATCTAGAGCGTGGCACACCTCTTGCCTTGGTTTAAGATACGTGAAGCTTTGAAGATTTATTCCGCTTGCCTGCCAAGCTATTTGAAAAGGACAAATAGTAAACATCAGGGCGATTACTTCTGGAATACTCCCAAAATGTATAGATAAACGGGCACGTTACTTGTATAAACAAGACACAATGAGATTACAGGACAAACACGTACACCTGGCACATCTTGTCACTCCACAACATGAATGAACTTGTCACCCAGGGCAGTAAGGTGGCTTAAAACAGATTTGTTTGCAACATTATTCTTCCAATTCTGCATTATTGTTCGTTCAGGTTTTCAAGTTAAGACCCAAGGGAGATTGTGCAGCTTAGCTGACAAGGGCACAGAAAACCTGTGCTATAAACCAGGAAGTGCCCTCTAGTGGCTGTCTAGTAGACAGCCACTAGAGGAGGAGTTAACCCTGCAATGTAATTGTTGCAGTTTATGAAAACTGCAATATTTACAGTTGCAGGGTTAAGGGTAGTGGGAGTTGGCACCCAGACCACTCCAATGGGCAGAAGTGGTCTGGGTGCCTGGAGTGTCCCTTTAATGTGCTGGTGTCCCAAACTTGTGAGTCGTGTTGGCCAACGGTGGCCTCTGTTGTCATGGCACCCTACATGACCCCACAGCTTACACACCTCAAAGGCTGGCCCTGCTGACAGACACACTGGCACTCACTCTCAAACACACACACACACACACACACACACACACAGACAAATTCCTTGTTGCTCTTACCTTTAGGAGTCCTCTGGTCCAGTGACTTCCTGCTCCCTCGCGTAGTTTAGTGATGCAGGCCGTAATGACATATTCCGGCTCCCGGCATCACCAGAGAGGGCGCGCCAGGGAGCAGGAAGATCAGCAGAGGCAGTGATCCCTTGCCACCGCCTGCCTCCTTCCTCACGTGGCCAGTATATTCCTGCAGAGTAGGCACCTGCTGTCTGGGACAAGCGGGTGCTTACTCTGCCTTGCTACCGGGGCGCCCTAGATGGCCAGCTGGCCACCTGCTGCGCTCCTTGTAATAGGTCATCGGCCTGCTCTGCGCGGCACCTCTCTCCTCCAGGCACCCAGGACCAGCCCTGCAGCGGCCGTTTTGCAAACGATTTAGGGCGAGTTACGCTCATCTATCTTGTGAGTTATACCTTTTATGTGCTAAGAGTATTACACTATTACTGGTTTTTGTTTTGTAGATTCACAGCTGTATCCTCCATATTGTTTGTACCTACCTGTGTTCCCTAAGCAGGCTTTTGCAAAGAATCAGAGTGTTACCATGGTAACCCATAGGACTCCAACGAGTGATACCCCCAGGTCTCCACTCACTATGCCTCCGTCTGGCAGATTTAGTATGCAGGGCATGCTGTGGCCACAGGAGTCGGCAGTCAGCTCCAAGGCCGAGTGGGCCGCCTTTTGGTGAAACAGCTGTGCGGCTGCTTGGCACCCCTGCTGCCATTTTACGCTGTACGGCTGCCAAGCTCACAAACCCCAAAAAGTAGACCAGAACGAGAAGCCTGTTCTGGGTCTTGCAGGAGAGCGTTAATATGCGCAAAGTTTTGAGGTTACATAGCTGAAAAGAGACTTGCGTCCATCAAGTTCAGCCTTCCTAACATTTGTTTTTTCTGTTGATACAAAAGAATGCAAAAAAAAAAAAAAAAAAAAGGTTTTGTGAAAATTTTTTTGTTTTTTTAGTAAAGAGAATTCAAAGTGAATTTAATATTTAAGGCCAGACTAGCTATAAAAAAAAACAAACAAAAAATAAATAAATAGCTGAATGAGTTAATTTCTCAGAATTGGCTGTTTTCACCATAAAAAGGACACTATAAGCCAGGGGTAGGGACCTTTTGGCACTCCAGATGTTATGGACAAAGAAGAAGGAGAGATGTATTCCACAACTTCTAGACTGCCGAAGGTTGCCTACCCCTGCTCTATTTGCCATCTCATTGACAGCCACTACTAGAGGCACTTCCCTCAAAACAGCAGAGTGAAACTTTGCATTTAAAATCAGAAGTCTCATGGAGACCATCTTATTGAGCAACATTTTGCCATGCATGCGCACTAGCCTCCCGATACTTTCCTATAACAAAGCATAGGATTGACTGAGATCATCAGTCTTAATTGATGATCTCAGCCATGGATGCAGGATTGCAGTATTAAAAACGATCACTACAAGGGAGAAAAGGCAAGTAAAATTGCCATTTTACTCCTTACAGGTGGGAACTGGGCATCTAAACTTTACAGGGCACTATAGCATTAGGAATATAAGAAGTATTGCACTCACATTTAAAAGAGCCTGTATGAAACTGGCACAGGTAGAGAAGCTTGAGTGTGATGTGCAGCTTTTACTCAAAAGGCAATAAGTAGAAGCGAGGCACCAGATGAAAGATTAAAAGATCAAGGATTTATTAAACATGAAAAACATTACATTGAGACAATACACTCAAGCCTGTATAGCTCAGCCAGTTTCATACAGGCTCTTTTAAATGTGAGTGCGATACTCAAGTTTAAGTTTTTTTTTTTTAAATCTATTTAGCCAAAGTACTGTATTGCCCTATGACAGTATGTGTACTGTTTTACAGTAACTGTTCCTGATACGCATATTTAATACCACTGCACATATGGTTTTTATTGCGGCACACTATCACAGTGTTTTAGTGCAGTGTTCACGTTATGGTTGATGTTCGTTCCCTGGAACTGTCTCACCTTAAGAGGTTAAACCATTCTCAAATGGTTTAACCCCAAAGTCTGTATTCCAGCGCTGAATCTCCCATATAGGAAGACAAACGGCTAGCAGATTTACTACTTGTACTGGGAAAAAGGGTGCCAGGGCATCCTGTAGTGGTTATGGTGTTCTTTTAAGAACCAGGAGCCAATTAACATTTTATTATGGCCTAAGAGTCATTTGGTAGTGGCAAAAGGTCCTGCATTTATTTACTTTAGCCACTATGTCAACCCAGACCCTTTCCCAACAGAACATGTAATAACATGCTTTCTTGTCCACAAAAAGAGGTCCAATTACATCCCAGCCTGGGTCACCCAGCCAATCCCAAGTTAATTATATCCAGAGGATTCATGGAAACGATTTGCCTTCCTGTGAAAGGTAATTCTGGATCAAACAAGCACAGAGTGTGTTCATACACTCAATACCAATTGCACAGAACGGAAACCTGAATTTCACAATTTTGGAAAAAATGCTCTCATCTCGCTATAGTCTCAGCATAGTTATTTTAGCCCAATTTCTTAAAAATCACATTGCGGAACTAAATAACCCCAAAATTTAAATTTACTAGATTGGGAACTGTTAAGAACTGTAGGTTTTACAATTTAGGACACAATAGCAATCTGAAAAGGTTATTTACTATTTGTGTGTTTCATTAGGAAAAAAAAATAAATAAATAAAAAAACAAACAAACACCCCACACACCCCAAACTGGAACTATAGCAGATATGTCCAAATTTCACTATTGTGAATTACTCCATTTCTCCAGTCTCCACAGCTCCTGATTTAGTGAATACACCCCATGACTTGCAATATGCAACTTGCTGTGATTAAACAGCGACCAGTTTTGGTTGTTTTTGTTTTTTACAGCTTTACACTGATACCATCACAGCTTATTCACCAAACTCAGAATTCTAGGGAATTAAAATTCAAAATTGCGCTGTTGTGATTATGGTGCCACAAGTACCCTGCCACTTCCGCTACATTATACAGAAAAAAAAAGTTAGATTTGCCTTAATTTTGAAGTTTGGGATATGAAAAAAAAACAAAAACAAAAAAAAAAAAAAAACCATCAGCAGAAACATTACATTTGTTTCTATGGCAATTGCGTCACATTCTACAGATTGCAACCAAAACTGTTCTCCAACAAACCTTTGCATCAAACCCAGTGATGGAGGACGTGGTATGATTTATACCATGAAATGCCCTACTTTACAAAACTAATTTTAAGCAGCACAAAGTTGTGAATGAGAAAGGTCAGGAGACACCCAATACAGGACTTACCTCTCAGTTCCAGATCATGGGACCTACACCAGTTTGTCTACTATGTGCTGGGCGATTGCAGTCCTTGGGTCCCCATCCAAACTACTGACTGTACTTAGCTCCAGGTGGTTGCCGCTGGACCTCAGAGAATCAAGGGGGCTGCTGAACCCATTATTGATAAAGACAGATGGGGTTAGATGGAGAGGTTCTCCAGGTTGTTTTGGAGTACGAAGGGTGTCTCTTGAGGAATCCTTTCTTCTAGCCCTTCTGGAGAACCTCTCTGAGAATTTCCTGGCTATCTGGGCTATGTTGCTCTTCTTCTCTGTCATAGAAGGGTCCATCATGAGTTCCTGCATGGAGACCTCCAGGTTGAAGGAGTACCACGCCAGCCACCAGAGCAGGCTGAAGAAGAGCATAATCCCACCGGTGTAGATGAGGAACTCCCCAAAACTCCTGCCATCCATCTCTAGGTTGACGAAGATCCCAATGAGTATAAGACCAAGTCCCATTACATCAGCCACCACGGCCAGCAGGAACAAGGCAGGACACCGGCCGACCACCCTCCGAGGTGAAGCCATGTCTGGCTCACACACTACCCCCCTGTCCAACCCGGGCCATGCACCTGGGAGCTCTCACCTTGAGGATCACCTCCCCCCACGTCATTCACTATTTGCATATTTTTGGGAAGTCACACCCACTGGTTTCCTCCTAGGATTAGGTGGAGAGGACTGCCTCACCTGTCCTGATTATAATAGGAAGTATCTCAGCCAGCTAGCTACTAGCAGGTTTCTGGAAAGATTAACAGAGTATTACTCCCATCTGCCTAGAACTCGCAGAACATCTCAGCCTGACCCCAGAGCATTGCAGAGCATCTCAGCTCGACCACACAGCCTTGTAGGGCATCTCCTCTCGCTCTGCATGGTTGCATGTCGTCTTCCCATGCTCTACAAGTCTGCAGGGCATCTCTCCAACATGATTTCAGAACACTGCAGAGCATCTCATCATGCTCAAACACTCTGCAGAGCATCTCCCCATGATCTAATTCCCACCTTATCGTTTGGTTGCAACCCCCCTACGTTCCCCTTCCTGTTGTGCTTTTATTCCCCACCTCCTTTAAATTGTAACCTTTTTTTTGAGCAGAGTCCTCATCAACCTATTCTTCCTGTTAAATTTTGTATTGTTAAATTTCTCCCTTTATAACATTGCAGCAGAACATGTTAACTTTATTAATAATAATAATAATAAAAAACATCTACTGCATGCAGAACAGCTCACTTTTCTGTTCACTTGGTAATGCCTACTGGTGAGTGGAAATTTTGAGCCCTAGTCTAATCCAATGCTCCTCATAGAAGGACATTGAGGACATCATGCGCATGCGCAGTGAGTGCTGCACTTCCATCAAAGCTTCCCCTTAGGAAAGTATTGAACCAATGCTTTATTATGGGGTCTTCCACATTACGTGAACAAGTTTCATTTGGCCAGTGCAGCAGAATTGCCATTGTTGGCTGTCAGAAAGCCAAGCAGTAGAGGTGGATATAACCCTGCAATTTAAACATTTCGAAACTGCTCTGTTATACATTGCAGGGTTAAAACTACGGGACCTCCGCACCCAGACCACTTCATTGAGAATCAGTTGCTTGGGTGCATTAAGTGGTTCTTTAAGTGCATCCATATATATTGTATATCATTTTTAAAAAAATAAGAAATAGGGCTTTCTTTTGACACCCTATATGTGTACATCACACAATATTAAATTGAAAAAAAAAAATCCAAAACAAAACATTGTTTTTTTCAGTTTTACATTCAGTAATTTCTACACAACAATACAGCTGAATAAAATGTAGCCCATGGATCAGGGCAGCTAGGGGAGTGGGCCTTGACAGAGCCAGGAGGTAGGCATAACAGCCAAGGGAAGTTGAGTGACAGCTAGCAAGCTGGGGGGAGAAGGGGCAGAGCTACGATGAGAGCATTTATACGGGCCATTTTGTGAAGTGGCCATCTTAACTAAACCTAAACTTACCTGTTGTCTCTCAGGTTTGGGTAGGTTTTTTCTTTCTTTTTAGGATGGACCCTTTTGAAGAATTCCTTGCAGGCGTTCATGTGGCGGTGAGGGAGTGCGGTATCTCTTGGCTACAAGAGCGGATGGCATCCCCTGGGCCTTCAGGTGGGCCGGCGGAGGACAAGGCATCCCCAACCTTTGAGCACCGGTTCAGTGCAGGCACAGAAGAGGAGCACATCTACGGGAGCTGCTCCCGTGGCAGACGGGTCCGGAGCAGGCCGCGTGGTCGAAGTGGGGGTCGGCGGGGAGAGAGCTGGGCCTTAGGTGTTGGCCGCGGAGGCCCCTGGCAGGTGGTCTATGCCAGGCGGCGTTGCTGGAACGGGTCTGCATGTCTGAGTCTCCCAGGTCAGGCTGTGCCCCGACGGTTGGTGGCCTCGCAGGAAAGGTTGGGTGCTGAGGATGGCGGGCTCAGGTGTGACAGGGAGTGCAGCCAGGTCTGCGACCAATGCTGGAGATGCCCCTGCAGCTCTCGGTGAGTCAGCCTTGTATCATTGGGGAGTGTGTGGTAGGACGTGGGAGCCCAGGGGCACGGATTGTGGGGCAGGAAAGAGTCTGGTACAGCCCCGGCTGGGGCCAGGTCAACTGAGGTGGAGGCCAATATCCCAGGTGGGGCTAAGTCAGCATGGGCGGCGGCTGGTTCAGGCAGCCAGGCAGGGATAGGACATAGCAGTACTACGGCCAGTGAGGTGCCAGGCAAGCCTACAAGGCATAATAGGAGCTCTGATAGCGGGGAAGCGGCCCAAGCGGTGCCTGGGGGGCATAGCATGGCCCGTGCAGGGTCATTTGGGAGAGAGTGCGCACGGCTACATGAAGCCAGCAAAAGGATAGGACGGATTGGAGGAGTCATGCTGCCCAAGAGTGCAGGGAGCACCGCTCTTGGACAAGGAATAGCGGATCATCGAGCCCCGTTATGATGTGGGGTTGGTGGGCAGGTGGACACGAGGCAGATGTGTGCCGGGATAACCCTCACTGGCAGGAGGGGGAAAAGGGCAGACCACAACCACAGTATTTTTTCCTCCAGGTAGGGCAGAGACCAAGAGATTGGCCCCACCTCCTCCTCCAGGAAGGCCGAAGTCAGGCCGCCAGAGCCTCTTGTGCAGGTAATCACTTATTTGAGAGCGCAAAGCTGCTTCCGGTAACAGGCCCTGCTCTGCTGTCAAGCTTAAAAATCAGGGTTGAGTAACTTTCAGAATGGTAAATAGCATGATGTTGCACATAGCTTAAGCAGTGTGCAACCACTTTGCTCGGCAGCCCGCTCCCCTTGTCTTTAGTTTCTATAATAAAGGAGGTCCAAGATGCAATGATAATGGGCTATGCCTGAAACATTTGTACACTTATATTTCTAATAAATATGTGATAGCACTTGTTGCACATTCACGCTGTCTGCACTTCCCTCTTTTTTCTGTTTTTGCTAGTGGGATAAGTTGTTTGTAGCGAAATAGAGGCCCTAACTACACTTTTATTCCCTTTTGTTCGGCTGTCCGTACACGGTACACCCCCGTTCATTTACCGAACTGACTCTGTGTGGTCTCCTTGTTCGCACCTTCTAACCACCAACCACCCCTGGCTGTTAACCACAAATTGGTCATTAGTGCTAGTGTTTTCCCTGTGTGGCCATAATTGGTTGCCATTTTATCTCCCGAACTCAGGCAGCGGTACATGGTCGTAGACGGCGTGGAACTATTTTCGGATAAGCGACCCCGCGAACACCTGGGAAAGTAGTACCACTGCCCATTCAACTTCCCGAACAGTTATGAGAACGGCATTCGGGAGTCATGAACTCCCGAACAGGAGTAGCATTCACTCCCTAAAAGCCAGGGGATGCATTCGTCAGTGTTCATGCGAAAACCCCCGAAATATGACTGGTCGTTGCCTTGTTTTCTCTGGAACTGTTTTGGGGCATCACATTGTGGCCGACCGGTCAAAACTTCATTTGAATGGTGTTTCCGAACCACCGAAGGGATCTGAGCGGTATTTCGACAAAGTGGGTGCTCAGAAGCGAGCTATTCAGTAAAATGACTTTTGTGGTGTTCCTATGTTATTAAAATGTATTTTGGGGTGTTTTAGAAATATTGTATGTTTTCTTGTATCTGAGAGAGAATTTAATTATAGTTTTCTCACGCAATTATCTCTCCGAGACAGAGAATCCTGGGAGGAAAACACTTGTATTTTTGATATGGAGACCCCATGCTAGGGGTCAGTGCATAAAATAAAATCAGTTGTTTCCCAGAACTATGTGTCGTCTAGTTGCTGGAGGGAAAGAGTCTTGGATTATTATACTGCTTCTTTCAGCTTCGAGGAAGAATAGTGGAGATACCTATGTTGGGTATTGGAGCCCCTCTACATGGTTCCTCTGATTTCTGCATTATGAAAAAATGTGTTTAATAGCGGCCATAATAAATGCCATCTTTTGTATTTTTATAAGTTAAAGTGGCACTTTAAGCACCAAAATAACTAAATGTATGCTGCCCCTTTTGTGTCACAATGTACAATTTTGCACTTTCTGAAATAAAATGGCAATATTTACAATGTATCTAATACACACCTCTACTGGCTGTCAATTAAAAATACACTAGTAGGTAGACGTTTAGAAAATTGTTCCTCTCTGTCTAAGAGATTTGTTTGCCTGAAGCCGAAAGAAGCGAGGTGAATTGTTAGTGTAGGACCCACGTAAGGTTACAACTAATAGGTTTACCTTGACTTGGCAGGTGAGCTTACACTCAAGTGGCCACTGGAGTGATACTCAAATCCTCTAGTTATTTAGGTGTGCATAGAGATTTGGGAAAGTGCGCAGGTAACTCTTTTTTTATTATATGCCCCCCTCTAACTTATTCATTATAATGACCCTCCTTGCATTTATTTATATATTTTTTTCACTGTGCCGGATCTCAATACTGGAGCGACCATTTTGTTCTCCTCTGTCCATGATGTCTGTTGTTTTCCTTCTGTGGGATTGATTGTACTGATGGATTGGGGGTAAATTTGATTTAACAAATTTAGTGGTCCATGAGCAACGCTCACCCAGTGTAGCCCCGAATGACAGAGGAAACACCAAGATGTTGATTAAAGAGATACTCTGATCACTGCAACCATTTAATCTATTTCAATTTGTTTGCGTTTAGTGTCCATGGAGTTCCAATCTGGCTAATGTAAATTCTGCAGAAACTGGCATCTGATGAGAGCACATAAAGCATGCTAACGCCAGACCGCCACGGCAACATGGCACCCACCTGCATAATGCCACTGTCCACCACTCAGTCCAGAGTCCGTGATGTCAGGCAAAGAGGATCAGGCTGCAGGGAAAACTTGAACGTTATGAGAGAACAGAGCTTTTAGCGTTTATTTTTTTCATTTAGGTGAGTGGACCAACTCAAAAATGGTTACTCTAACCAAAACCAGTGTTTTATGAATGATTTCTTTAATTATGTATATTAATGTTTTTTTAAATTTATTTTTAGAAATTTTCACTTTTTTCAAAAATTTGATTTAGTAGCCATTGGGTCAGACTCTACTGTTATCTGACCAACTGCTT